TTCTCAAAGGACACAAGATGGCAGGGACCGCATGGCTTTTCCCTCCACATGTGCTCCTTCTTCCCACAATCCCTTTCCAGCCTCTTCCCGAAACCCCTTCTGACCAACAGCCAACCCCTTCCACTCCCCAGATTTTCCCGCCCACTTCTCTCCTCCACCCACCTCAGTCACCCCCCCTTGTGAATTATTTAACACCTTGTCCCCCAGCTCCACCTTTGGGGTGAGCTTTCCATTAGCCACTTCCCCTGGCCCTGACCCTCTCTCCTCCTCCTCCCTCGGTTCCCACGACCCAACTTCCGGTTCCCATGTTTTGAGGTCGGGGGGTGGCGAGGGGAGCGTGGGAACTCTGGCCTGCCCCATTCCCTGCCTGCCTTCTCTGCTGCCCCTGTCACCTTCACCCCACGGCAGGGGGCCAGCCCCCTCGCACAGTGGTCCCTCATTCCTCAGCAAGTCATCAAGAACCTCTATAAAGCCCAGAAGGAATTCGGCCGCGAATGCGAGTTTTTTTGAGGGATGTTAAAAGCAACACTTGCCTCCACAGAGTATGTTCCCGCAGACATGTGGACTCTCTTTTCATGTTTAATAACTCAGGCTGAGTTTTTAGTTTGGGAGTCTGCATGGAGGCGGGAGGTGAGGGAGTTTTTGCCATTCCTCTGGGCTAATGCAGAAACCTCTGTGGATGCGAATGGGGGAATGTTATCAATTGACCATCTGTGCAAGGTTGGGGATTGGGAATTTGGGCCAAAGCAGGCTGAAAAGATCCCCAGGGAGGCTTTAGTAGTCAGCGCAAAGGCAGTGGAGAAGACCTTTTTTAAACTAAGGCCTACCAGCCCAATTATTAATTATTTATCTATGAAGCAGGAGCCATTAGAGTAATTTCTGAGTTTTGTGGATCATCTATGCCGAGCCATTGAGGCACAGGTTCCAGACGAGGGCCTCAGGAGAGGCATGATCACCGAGGTTGCCAGGCAAAATGCCAACGAGGCATGCAGGCAAGCCATCCTGAGACTCCCCGTCGACCCAGAGCCTACACTACAAAGCATGCTGGACGTCTGCTCCCGCAAGGTGACCATCCCACCTAGAGACTTGCAGGGGACTCCCCGAGCACCATCCAGGAGAGTCTCCTTCGCTGAAGATGTCACCCCATCAACTACTCCTGCTCCCAAACGCTGCTTTTCAAGGCCACCTCCAAGAGGATTTAATTCAGATAGACCCTGCAATCTTTGTAATAAAAGAGACCATTGGCCTCCACAATGCCCATTGAGGGACGACTTCTAAAATTCCAACAGCAGCAGCAAGGCCGAGGTGCCCCCAACCCAGGGGGGGAACCAAAAAACTAATGGACCAGCGCAGTCTCTCCCTGCGTGCGGAAATAAATATGGTGGGACAATCAACATCCGAGGAGGGGAGGGACAAAGACATCACCACCAGAAACGACACCCTGTCGGATTTGACTACGGCTGACGAACCAGCCTATATGGGGGAGGATGTGAACTTCATTTCAAAAGCCTGGCTTGGCCGGGATCCCGACCACCCCAGGCCCATTCTTAATACTCAATCCAATTTCTCTCCCTATAGGTTGGCTCTGAGTGAACCTTTACATCTGAAGGATACTGATCGGCACTTTATTACCATTGACACCAAGGACCCCAGAACCTGGAGGAACCTCCACAGTAAGTGTATCGTTCTTGGGGACACAAAATTCACACCAGTCGACATCACCATTGCACCAAGTCTGACATCTGCACATCCTAAACACTTGGTCTTGTGGCTGCACTGTTCTCACCTGCCAGTCTTCCTCCCCGAGGGCCAAATCATCGCCCAAGCCATTCCTGTATCTGGGCCTCCAGTTTTCCGCAAAGACATATGGAAGCAGTCACCTGACAAAATCTACCAGGCGCGTCAGGCCCAGATACTGGGGAAGGAAAGACCTA